TCTAATCTATAGTTCTAATCTAAAATCAATAATTATAATTCTAATTAAAACTAATCTAATCTTAATTCTATTAATTCTAATTTCTAACTAAAAACAACTATTAATAAAATAATCTAATTAAAACTAATTCCTAATAACAATTCTAATTAAACTAATTAAATTAAATTGAAACTAATCTAATTCTAAAAACTATGCTAATTAAAATTCTAATCCAAATAATTAATTCTAATAATCTATTTAAAAATATATTTTAATCAAACTAATCCTATTTCTAATAAAGAACTAATTTCTAAAAATCTAATTAAAGTTCTATTTAAAAAACTATTTTTTTAAATTAATAAAATCTAATTTCTAAAGAAAACTCTATTCTAGTCAAATTCTAAAACTATTTCTAAATCTGAATGAAATAATCTATTCTAAAAAAATCTAATGAAAAAAACTAAATAAATTCTATTTCTATAATAAAAACTTAATACTATATTATAAAACTATAAAAAGAAATTAAAGCAAAAATAGGAATAAAATCACAAAAATGCAGCAAAATAAAAACGGAAAAACGGGCGAACACCGAAGCATAACAGGATAATCAGTACGGACTGAATCACCAAAAAAAGAGCATATTCACTCGATTTCGACATAAATCTCCTCATCACTTGAACTGGTTTATATTGTCTGAAACGCGAACAAAACGGATGTAGTCCCGATATATCCATTCTAGCTGATAATATGACCAATATGCGATAAATGATATGCAGATGCAAATGCAAAACAAAAGCCAGGTTAAAAAGAAAAGGTTGGTCAAATTTTGGGGTACAACAACTGTCAGTTGGGGAATGAGGTTGTCGCCGGTTGATCGAAGCAAATGTTGAAGAATTGGCGTAGCTCTGAGACGGTCTTGGTACGGTGCGAAAAACAGCTGTTGAAGACTGATGAAGAAGCTCTATGGAAATGTATTGAAGATGAAAATGTGTATTGAGTAGGACTGTAGAAGAGTATTGAAGATGCTACGAAGATGAGGGAGTCCTGTTTTCATAGCTGGGTAAAAGGATGGTGTGGCATCTTCTCTAACCACATCTCTTAGGACTGCAGCCTTAGGATGTTGACAATGCCAGAATCAATCAATGCCGTAAACACAAGTTTAGGTAATATATCTCGCAACTTGACTAACCAACTCTTGTTTGATGTATTTCTGGTCTGTTGACATTTGCCCGTGTTGCGGTATTGTTAGGAAGCAACGACAATGGCCATGAACCTAATGAAGCGAGGTTGTCGAGTAATCAAAAGAGGGAGTGTTATGATTGTTGTGGAAGACTGAAGGCGACACTCAATCTGTTATGGATAAAAGAACCATAAATTGTTGCTTTTGGTGTATGCCGATCCCAAGTTTCGTTGGAATGGATTAGCCTAAAACAACTTTAAAGAACTTGAAAAATTCACAGTTTTGGTGTGGGAGCAACCTCATGGGATTTGTGGAGGATTCGCAGTTCCAGCAAGTAGTAAACGTTCCCCTAATGCACTATTCTAGATTTGTACTTCCTGTTCTAAGAGCCAATCTTTTTGAGCTCCTCTTCTAGGCTTGTGTAGATTTATTTGTATAATGTTTCTGGATTTGCATGAGTTCTCCCATTCACATTTGTCGCTACTCGAAAAATGCATCGCGCAACGACGGGGAGGCGAAAAAGATAGACAGAAGAGTCGCCACCGAACTTTATTTATCCCATGAGGGGAAAGGAAAATATCGAGAAAACCTTAAGAAATAAATGGATAAGATGGTCTCGCAACCAAGAACGGGTTCGAAAGCCGGTTATGCGAGGGGAAGGTATTAGCACCCCTCGCATCCATCGTACTCGATGGGAACCTTTTGTTTGTCGATGTGTGAATTTATTTGCTTAAACATTATGCTATAAGAAGTGTTCCACAGGGTAAAAGAAAAGGTTAGAAACAAGAAAGTTAGGAGGAAAGAGAGAACGGGGAAGAAAAGAGAAAGAACAGACTCGGTAGGACTTCACAGTCCTATGCCTACGTATTCTCAATAGATGTGAGAAAGTCAGAGTCGACGTAGTTCGGGGAACTACAGATAATGGGGGGAAGTGTGCTCGACAAGGATTGTGGCCCTTGTGCCTACGTATCTTTACTTGAATGAAGTAAAGAATTAGAGCAGCGTAGTTCGTGCCTACGGTGCGGATAACCGGTGTTTGGGGATGATGTTATTGTACGCGTTCTAGCAGTTTAGGTGTTTTGCTGCTCGCTCGTTTGGAGACTTATGCGTACCTGTTTGCGGTAGAACGGACGTAACATATCCTGTTTGAAAGGTTGGTTTTCGCCATGCGAGGCAAGGTATCATGTTTGATTGGTTGAGATTGTTTTTGGGGCGGGATAGGTCCTCGGATAGTAACCCCTACGGGTAGTATCCAATTCTTTATCTCAAAATTTTTGTTATAAAAAGGTGTGGCGAACGAGGCGTCTTCGTATTGAAAGACGAGCGTCGAAACCACCCTCACTACAGTGGGCATCCCTACGCTCGGAGAAGAAGAGGTCTACATCCAATCCTCTCTCTTTAATCCAATGCAAAGAGAACTTCGTTCTCTTATTAAAGATGTTTTTGGTTTTGAATGGTAAGTGCTTTGCGACAGAGAACCCTACGGTAAACGTTAGCACTCGGGATAGGAGAAGGCCTACGCCTAACCACTCCACGACCATTCAAGTTTTTGTATGAAAAGGAAATTGAAAAAGCACTCGGTGCGGGACCGAGGTTTTAGGAGAGAGGGATATGGATGAGTGCGGAGAATACGAGCGTCTTTGTATTGAAAGACGAGTATCGAGACCACCCTCACTACAGTGGGCATCCCAACACTCGGAGAAGAAGAGGTCTACACCCAATCCTCTCTCTTTAGTTCAGTACAAAGAAGTCAGTTTATTATTGAAAGTGTACTCGGTACGGGACCGAGGTTTTAGGAGGAAAATTTGGAAGCGTCTTCGTATTGAAAGACGAGTGTCGGAACCACCCTCACTACAGTGGGCATCCCAACACTCGGGGAGGAAGAGGTCTACACCCAATCCTCTCTTTTTAATTCAATACAAAGAAATTATTTGTTTGAAAATGAGGTTCGAGAATACACTCGGTACAGGACCGAGGTTTTTTAGGAGGAAAAACGTTGAAAGGAAATGGTCTCAGATCCAACGTTATTTATCAATAACTTGACTTAATAACGGTTTACGGAGGTCTCGTCATCGACCCAAAAGGCAAAAAAATACCCAATAACAAATGCAAAATGAAATCCAACTTAAAAGGAAAATAAAATATAACTTTACATAAAAAAAATAAAGTTATGAATAAAATATATAATAACAAATTTCTAAATAAAATATAAGCAAAAGTTAACAAAAAGAATATTAATAAAACCTTTTTAAAAAGAAATAGCAAAAAATATATATATATATACAACTTAACAAACTACAATATATTTACATATAAACTATAATAGAAATAATAAATAATAATAATATACATACTAATAAAATAAAATTAAATAGGAAGCATGGTGGGTTTGGAATAGAAACGGGATATGTAAATGATGGTGAGGGTCACATGGGACCCAAAGCCCATCGCCTCAGAAAGAACTCCTTGGACAACAAAAAACGGGTCATGAACCCATCAAAACACAGTGCATTCAAAGCAAGCTGAAAACGATATGAACATTAAAACTACCTTTGTCGAAGCTCAAACACAGAGTGAGATCCAAAGACGGAAACGAGGTGAAATTAAAATGACGTTACAAACACACTCTTCACGAGTCGCTCCTCCTCTTCGTCAACTCTATCTTCTCAGCCTCAATCCTGGTTCTGAATCTATTTTAGGATTTAGGATTAAGTTGTGTTGTGCTTGTGATTAGGGGTTGCCGTCGAAAATGGAAGGAATGGAATAAGAGGTTCGCGTCTGGGTTTGGTTTCGGTTTCTGAGATGGATCGAAAAATGGTGAGTCTGAGAGGAAATATGGATAGCGTGTGGGCTTCAGATAGGAAACGAGTGAGATTGGAAATGGCTTAGTGAGTTTGTGTGGTTTGATTTCTGGGTGAGTTTATGAAGTTTGTGTGATGATGAAGGTGTCAAGAAGCTGATGGGTGGCGGCTGCAATGGTTAGGGTTTTTTCTCTCCTCTTCTTTTTTGAGTGAATAGTGTTGCTATATATATGCCCAATCCAGTTAGGTTTAGCAGACAACCTCTGCCACAATTTCTGAGACCTCTGCTCCATCATGGTTGTGTTTTTTGCCATGGTTTGTTTTATTCCGTTTTTGTATCTAAACCTGCTGTGAATTTTCTGCTGCTGGTGTTTTTGCTATTTTTACTAACATAAGTGTGTGGTCCCATTTTCTCATTGTTGTGTTGTTCTGATTAAAAAAAAAGTGTATATTCAAAACTCTGACTTAAGTAAACAATATGGTAGGATGTGACTTAAACTTTGAGTCATTTGAATTTGTATTGTTTTTCCTAATTCTGACTGTGCTGTATTCTCATGCTGGTCCTTTGTTTCCATGGCAGTATACAGCACAAGGAAGAGAAGTATCTTCAGGAAACGGAGAAGGGGGATAATATGCTTCAGTATTTATTCGGGTCTGGAAACAGATTTTGGAGGTGGGATGTCGCGTACGGAAATGTGCTGCTGTAGCAGGATGAAGTATTGATGTTTGATTACAACTATGTAAGGGTTTTTGGTGCTGCTGCCAAAAAATGTTATTGTGGTTCGCCTCATTGTCGAGGTTATATAGGCGGCGATGATCCACTTAGAGAAGAGCTTATAGTTCAAGGTGATTAAGATGATGAATTTCCAGAATCGATGGTGCTTACCGAAGATGGTGAAGTTGAGGACAGCATACCTATACCCAAGTACCATGATAATGTTGATACTGAGTCTTCTAGGCATTTATTAATAGAGATGGTTGTCATTGGAGACCGCAGCAAAGGCCCAGGTTTTAAGATCATCGTTGTGGACACATCCATGTTAAGAGACAATCCTCCTTGTGTAAGACGGAAACAAGAGACACCCTCTATTCGTTGCCCGCTGCCTCAATATGATATCAAGCACCCTCAATGCATCCTGAGAATTTGCATATGACTCAATCCCTTTAAGTGCAAGAGCAATAGGCTGCAAGGGTATTTTGGCAGCAAAACTTATCTCCACTGTGAATGCCTTTGACTGAAGAGAACGCTTTGTCCTTTTATTTTCCTCACAAGGGGTTTCGTTAGCACCAGGACTCTCAGTACACTTTGGAAATGAAAATGTTTCTTCAAGTAGAACTTTGAACTCAAACTTATTATCTGGAAGAGGACCCACTGTGTACAATGTTCTTTCTCCATCATATGCAAAGCTTTTGCCACCAAGTTCAGAAGAGTATGTTTGGTGAAGCCTATCAATCACTTTTCTCCCAAAGCCCTTGCATTCAACAGTTCTTTTATCTTCCGAAGTGATAGTAACACTATACTGGAAAAAGGTTGCATCTGTATCATCAGCAGCAACTTTTAAGAGATTTTCAAGCAAAGGTATGTGTTTACCTGTGGTACCAACACTAGGCCTACTAATAATATAATAGGTTGGCAGAGGTATTTGTTCTGTTTCCGTTTCAGGCAGCACGTCAGGAGGTGATGGAGGTAAAACTGGTGGCACCACAGCTTCTTCTAAGTCAGGTATAGTCAGCATCTTCTATCCTTTTTCTATAAATGCCGCTTTAAATCATCAACCAGGAAAAGAAAATGCTACAATTGAAAGACAAAAATACAGATATGTAGCTCAAAATTTCAAGAGATTGTTCGGTAATGTGTTACATTTGTACATATTTTCAGAAGAAAAATACAGTTGGAACTTTTTCCACCAAAAGAGTAAGTCAAATGCCAGTTTGATCCAATTGAAACAAGCCATGCCTAGAAGTTATCTACAACAACTCTATGTCATTGCTGAAGTTTCAGTGTTATTAACCGGTCATGATAATCAGTTGAAGAAACAACAGAAGAAAAGAAGCAGCATTTCTACAAAGCACCCCGTATTAGCTATGGCAGCTCCTATTTTTAGTGTAGAGCACAGTAGTTGTGTTTTCACTTTCAACCATGCATTCCTGGTTATTGATAAGTTATGAATATACTACGAAATGAGGTTTGGTAGGGTGCGTGGGAATCGACGGTGCATTGAGGCCTGACTGAGCTCGCGTAATGTCGTTCGCTTTGCGGTTTAGGAGATGGCTGAACAAAACAAAATAAAGGCTCGTGAAATTGTAGTGTGAATTGACAGAAACTCGCTCTTTTTAACAAAATGAATTTCCATAGTTTGATGATGTAAAGGACCTCTCATTTGCAGTAACTTCCCGTGAGCCTTTTTAGTGTAATGGGCTTAAATTGTCCATGGGTTTTTTGTGTAACATTTCTTGTATTGGTCATGATATTTTATGATGAACGTATATGGATTCAAGTAATATGCTTGAAACGAAATAATGGATTCTTTAGTGATTCTCTTGCAAATTACTTGAATCATAGGTTTTAGTAATACAATAAGTCTTTGAAATAAATCTGCAATGCCCTGACTTATTCCATTTCTTGATTAGAAAGCAATCATAATTGAAATCACAAATAATTGCATGTTCTCAATTAAAACTACTCTCAAATCTTCCCTGACCTGGATGATACTTTGAATTAGTCCTTGAGCATTAAAGTCAGTCACAGAACAAACTTAATCATGAGTCAATTGTTAAATCATTCTTGATGTTTGCCATTTGAAAACGTGATGAGTTGAAACCTTCATGGAACATTTCTTGAAAAATCAAAATATTATGACTTGAGAAATGAACTTCGGTACACTGCACATAACCCTGGTTGGGGCTTTAGTCACACACCATTTAAATCAATGCACCATGACCTTGATAACAAAATAGATCCCTTTCTTGCTGATGAATTAAGTCAAACCTGGACTTAGACATATACTTCACTCATTCCTACTTAATGAACCCCAACCAAAACCTATCCAATTCAGCTCAATCTTATGATGGAAGCAACATATATTTTTTTATTTTTCTGCCCCTGACAACCACATATGCTTATCTGTTTGTCTTCAAGGACCTTGACTTGTCTCTGATAAGGGTAACCACTTGGTGACTTGAATATAACCTCCTTGATCAGGTTAAAAACCATTGGTAATTTTTTGTTAGACACACATTTCTTGATCCCCTGTGAAATGCAAAATGCTATGCAATGCAATGCTTATGTATATGCTGGTGCAATGAAATAAAACATAAGCCAGAGAGGTCGGTCAAATTTTGGGGTACAACAGCTGCCCCTATTCAAACGGCTTGGGCCTGAAGGGATGAAAGGTAAGCGACTTTCATACAATCAAGGTAAAAGACGGTTGAATACCCAAGGACCCGGAAATTTGACAACCGCGAAACAAACTTCTGACATCGCCTCCAGACACCCATATTAAGTAGAACGTCTGACCTTGCCGTCAGCTCTCAGCGTCAAAATTATAAATCAACTGACTTTATCGTCGGTCCTCAATATTTTATGACTTCGCCGTCAATTTTTTCACAGAACTTTGGTAAAGCCCCTGACTTCGCCGTCAGCTCTTCAAAATAATCTTCTGACCTCACCGTCCAATTTACAATATTTTCTGACTTCACCGTCAAATTTTTTTTCCAAAATCGTCTTCTGACTTCGCCGTCAAATCTACAATATTTTCTGACTTCGCCGTCAAATTTTTTTTTTCAAAATCGTCTTCTGACTTCGCCGTCAAATCTACAATATTTTCTGACTTCGCCGTCAAAATTTTTTTTCAAAATCGTCTTCTGACTTCGCCGTCAAATCTACAATATTTTCTGACTTCGCCGTCAAAATTTTTTTTTTTCAAAATCGTCTTCTGACTTCGCCGTCAATCCTCAGAATGGTCTGACCTCGCCGTCAATTTTTCCGTTAAATACGAACAGCCATTAAATTCAAAGATATAATTACTTTTGACATCGCCGTCAAAACAAACTTTCAACATCACCGCTGAAGAGTACAATTACTTTTGACATCGCCGTCAACATAAACATCTCAACATCGCCGTTGAAGAATACAATTACTTTTGACATCGCCGTCAACACAAACATTCAACATCGCCGTTGAAGAACTAAGCCATCTGACATTGTCGTTAGGAACAAACTTTCAACATCGCCGCTGAAGGATACAATCACTTTTGACATTGCCGTCAAAACAAACTTTCAATATCGCCGCTGAAAAACTAAATCATCTGACATCGCCGTCAGAACAAACTTTCAACATCGCCGTTGAAGAATCAAATCACTTGACATCGCCGTCAAAACAAACTTCTCAACATCGCCGTTGAAGAATCAAATCGCTTGACATCGCCGTCAAAAACAAATATTCAGCATCACCGCTGAAAAATCAGATTATTGACATCGCCGTCAAACCTTCTCTAAATATAAGCGAGCAACGAGATTCGAACGAATTTAAGACCATCCTTTGGTGACAATCACAAAAGAAATCCGCTGGGGAGACAGCATGAGCTGGGGTCTAGCCAACACACGGGCGAAGATACTAGTCATCTGCGGGATTCACTTGAAACAAAAGGGTAACGACTCAGCTTATGTTTCACATGCATATGTTTGGATATGACGAAATGCTCCATACGAAATGGAAATGCTTCGCGTTTGGGTAGATGTTATGCATGTATGTAGATGCCAATGAACCAATTTAGCAAAATAAATGCTAAAGAGAAAGAGCCGACTCCGTTGTGTCAGAGCTAGGTACGCCTAGCGCAAACAAACTCATGCTGGGGAATACAAGCCCTGGATGGCTTCCGATAAAAACTTCTGGGTAAAACTGCTTCGTTAAGAACAAAACCACTCTGTCGGGGATCCAAATCAAACTTTGCTGCGGTAAACGTCCCGGATGGCCTATCAACCTACAACTCTTCCGGGAAGCAAACAACTTGGCTGGAGACAACAACTCCGCTCTGCCGGGGAAATCAACCGTGAACGATCAGCCAGATTAACTCTGCCGGGAAAACACAGCTTATTGCTGAGGAATAACTCTCTTCTGCCGTCGATTGAATCCACCATCTGCTAGGGATGTTGAATAAGACTTATTGGGAATTTATCCCGTACTATCCCCGCTGGGGATGGAGATGAACCCTCTTTGAGCCGATTCCACTATGTGGGGAAGAAAACCAACTCTGCCGACTTGGCCGTGGATTAGATAAGGAGGGAACCAGTATCAACCTCTGCTTGGGGAAAGAAAAACACAAATAGACAAATGTGCTGTACAGCCGGCACCAAATTATCACTTATGTCTTTATTTAAACAAATATCTTGATTAATAGTTAGCAAAGCCCACAAGTTTATGTATGCAAGGTTTTTCATCAAAAATGTCAGGCGTCTTTTGCAAACAAAAACGGTAAAAAGTTAAAACCAGAACAAAAGCTTTTCTGAGTAGTATACTTTATTGATAAAGGGCCGGAAAATAGGCAACTTTACATCTGATGCAACTCCTGAAAAGAGAAAGTTGCGCAAAAAGACAATCGCAAGGAAAATATACAAAATGTCGGCAATGTGGTACAGACAAACACCATGTGATGACTCATCCATGACTCGCGTGGCTTTGACGCTTTCCGATACTTTAACTTCTGAAGAGACTGATTTGAATGGTCGATCTTCGAGTTCTCCCTAGAATCTACTATGCTTGTGATGATCAATGCGCAGGCCGCAGTCATTTGCTTTAAAATCCCTAATTTTTGCCTGAATCGCCCTTGCGGGTTTTCGATTCACCAGGATACCCATTTTTTGCCAAAGTTGCCCTTTCAGGTTTTCAACTTTGCGGGTTCACATTTTTCTTGTATCCCTAACTTTTGCCCGAACCTATCCTTTTATGGTTCGCCAGGATGCCCCATTTTTGCCTGGATATTCTTTTTCTTTCCAGCGGGTTTGTCTTAAGCAAAGTATTTTTTGACTGCGTCTGCGTTCACAGGGGATGTAAAATCTTCACCATCCATAGTTGAAAGTAACAAGGCTCCTCCGGAGAACACCTTTCTTACAACATATGGCCCTTCGTAGTTGGGAGTCCATTTGCCTCTGTGATCATTCTGTGGTGGGAGAATTCGCTTCAACACCAAGTCGCCTACCTGAAAGCTCCGAGGACGTATCTTTTTATCATAGGCGCTCTTCATCCTCTTCTGATACAAACGACCGTATGCGAGAGACGCCAATCTCTTCTCATCCATCAAACTGAGTTGATTCAACCTGTTCTTCACCCATTCTGCTTCATCTAGTTTGACATCCGCCAGTACTCTCAAAGAAGGGATCTCGACCTCCAATGGTAGGACAGCTTCCATGTCATATACCAACGAGAAAGGAGTTGCCCCAGTTGAAGTACGCACCGAAGTGCGATATCCATGTATAGCAAAGGGCAACATCTCGTGCCAATCCTTATAAGTTATCACCATCTTCTGTATTATCTTCTTAATGTTCTTGTTGGCCGCTTCCACGACGCCATTCATTTTCGGGCGATAGGGAGAAGAATTGTGATGCTCGATTTTGAAACTCTGGCACAATTCCTTCATCATCTTGTTATTCAGATTAGAACCATTATCAGTGATGATCCTCTCAGGTATTCCATATCGACAGATGATGTCCCTTTTGATGAATCGGGCTACGACTTGCT